GGCAAGCCTAGATGTTGCAAAGGCAATGTCAGGCCGTGTGTGGTTAGCCGCATAGTTGAGTGCCCCAACCATGGAATGAAAAAGTTTCCTGTCACTCTCACCCACCACCTCCTCATCAGCACAGGGCTCCACAGTGAACCCCGAAGGCAGTGGGGTGGCTGGCTTTCCTCCATCTTGCAGCCCATACTTCTTAGCCAGCCCCTCACAATACTTTCTCTGGTGCAACCTCAACACTCCCTTGTCAAGGTCCCTCTCCACATGCATCCCAAGGAAGTACTTCACATCTCCCATCTTGGAGCACTTGAACTGCATTTCCAGCATCTCCTCCACACGTTCAATCATTGCAGATGACTCAGAGAAGAGCAGGATGTCGTCCACGTACACCAGAAGCATGAGGAACTGCTCCTTCTCTTGCAGCAGGAACAGGCTGTGATCACACTCGCTCTTCTTGAACCCCCCGGCCAGCAGTGTCTCCTCCAGCTTGTGGTACCATGCGCGAGGAGCCTGCTTCAGGCCATAGATGGCCTTCTTGAGCCTGCACACCCTGCCGCTCCCATCATCCAACCCCTCAGGCTGCAGCATGTACAGCTCCTCCAGAATGATTCCATTGAGGAATGCAGTGATTATGTCCATCTGCTTGATCTTCCAGCCACGGTTTGCAGCCATTGCCAACATCGTCCTCAGTGTAGTGCCTTTCCCTACAGGAGCAAAGATATCATCAAAATCCTTCCCCTTTGTCTGTTGGAACCCCTTAGCCACAAGCCTTGACTTGTAGCGGGTCAGCTCCCCATCGGGTCCGTACTTATGCCTGAAGATCAGCTTAGAAGAAATGGCCTTCTTCCCAGGTGGCAGCTCACACAGCTCCCACGTCTCATTCTCTAGCAGAGAGTCATACTCCTCCTTCACACTCTGCTTCCACTTCTCAGCGTCGGGCCCGCTCAATGCCTCGGCTAACGTCTTGGGCTCAGGGACGGCTGCCCAGTAGCAGTGTGCTATCTCATCCTCATCACACTGCTCAGCCACACTCCCAGCCCGTACCACCTTTGGCTTGCCAAAGCTCGGATAGGTCAGCCGGTTAGGAGGGCGCACTTCCCTCCGGGGACGGTCAGCCGGACGCGCGGCACCTTGTGGAGCACCTTGCTGCTGCTGCTGTGGCTGCTGCTGCTGCTGCTGCGGCTACTGTTGCTGCTGCTGCTGCTGCTCCTCCACCTCAGGTTCTCCCCCATCCTCAGTCACCCCAGAAATCTCCTCCTCTGAGACAGTGACCTGCACTTGCCTCGAAGGCCGCTGCACCTCATCAGCCTCAATGATCAGCGGTGTAGTGGGAAGCTTCTGCTGCTGCTGCTTCCACTCCTTTTAGTACAAGGACTCAAGGAACTTCACATCCCTCGACACAGTCAGCTGCTGGCTGGTCAAGTCCCAAATCAGCCAGCCCTTGTGATCCTTTGCAAGCCCCAAGTGCACACCCCATCTCCCAGAAGCTTCCAGTTTTCCCCTCTTCTCCTTAGGCACATGAAACACCACCATACAGCCATAAGTTCTCAGCATGTTGACTGCAGGCACGCTCCCATACCACTTGGTGTAGGGGACCCATTGCTTGTCCCCCACAGTCGCCAGCACCCGGTTCTTCACAACAACGACCTGCCGCAGTGCTGTCACCCAAAACGGATCCGGCAGCCCTCCACGCCCAAGGAGAGTGCGAGCACCTTCCTGCAGGGTCCGGTTGAACCGCTCAGCCACGCCATTCTGCTGAGGGTTGTAAGGCACTGTGAGCTGATGCTGGATCCCCTTCCGCTTCAGCTCCTTCTCAAAATCAGCGCCGATGAACTCTCCTCCGTTGTCAGTGCGGATCACCTTCACCTTGTGTCCGCTCTCCCTTTGTGCTCTCGGCATCCACTCCTTAAGAACAGCCGCTGCCACCTCCCCCTTAGTCTTGAGAGGGTACACCCACACCGCACGCGTGTGGTCGCCCACAATTGTCAAGAAGTAGCGGCTGCCCGAGAGAGAAAGGGCCCTCGTGGGGCCCACCACATCCATGTGCACTAGTGCAAGTGGTGCCTTTGCTGGTCCTGTGCTGCTGCTGAAGGGAAACTTCGTGAATTTGGTCTCAAGGCAGGTAGGGCAGCTCCCAATCTCCTTTGCTCCCCCCTTCACCTCCAGCCCCTTCAAGCACCCATCCTTTACCAACTTCTGCAGCATAGGAATGTTCACATGGCACAGCCTCTCATGCCACGTCTCCCAATCAGCCTCACCACTCCCAGATGAAGCCTTTGCCCATGCAGCTGTCGCATCCACACCAGCAAGCACCTCACCATGTGGCTGTTGTGGCTGCTGCACCTTCTTGACTGCATCCAGGGCCCCATCAGTTGGTGCAGTCTCCTCTCCTTCCGCAGTTGCTTTAGCCGCTGCCGCTGCCTTTGCCGTTGATGGTGGTTTCCCCTTCCAAGGGATGATGGGCAGCTGCCACAAGTCCTTGATGCAGCTGCTCTTCTCCTCCAAATTCCACAGCAGCAACTTCCCAAGCTTTCCACGGCAGCAGGTTGGGCCGAACGTAACTTTGGCCTTGCTTTTCTACAGCCGGCGCACAGAGAGGAGGTTAGCGGATAAACCTTCAACCAACAGCACATTTCCCAGCCCCACAAGCCCCCCATTAGCTCCCATAACCTTGGCATTCCCAACACCAATCACAGGGAGCAAGGCACCTGAAGCGGCAGCCACAAACTTTATCTTCCCAGGGGGCTTCACCTCATCAAGCAAATCTGCCCGTGGAGTCATGTGACTCGTGCAACCTAAATCGATCACCTAGTGAGTGAGGGGGTGCATCACAACCTTCCCAACTGAACCCACATCACCCCCACTCCCTTGCACGTCCTCAACCATGAGGAACATCCCAGGGTCGGCTTTACCTTGTGCACCGTCACCTTGTGCACCTGAACCTTGCACAGCACCACCTCGTGCACGTTCACCACTTGGCGGCTTCATGCCTGGAGGCGCCCATCCTTCAGGCCGGCTGAAACACTTAAACCATGGGTGTCCAGCCTTCTTGCAGTACCAGCACACACCCTCCATTCGGGTACTCCCCCTGCCACCAGAGCTCCTATGCCCCTCATTGTAGTCACCTCGGCCTCTCCCTCTGCCAAAGCCTCTCCCACGGCCTCGGCCTCTCCCTCCCCCTCTCCCTCTGCTGCCTCCTGCAGCTCCATACCCCTCAGCAGTTTTGTTGGCAGCACCACCTCCAGTGTGGCGCCTGCGGAAGTCCTCCTGCAGGATCTGCTGCCGTAGCCACTCAGGCGTCCATTTGTCCTGCTGAACGTTGAGGGTGGGGATGAGGTTGTCCCACGAGTTGTCGAGCACCGAGATGATCTTGGTGCATTGTTGGATCTGCGACACTTCGCTGCCCGCCGCTGCCATCCTCGCATAGGTGTCCTTGATCTTGTCAAGGACCGGCTTCACATCATCTCCCGGCCGCATGGAGAGGGCAGCCAACTCCTTCTCCAATACGATCACCATCGGCAGCGTGTTGGGTTGAATCACGTCGCGTAGCAGCTTCCACGCCTTCGGTCCCGAGTCATCGAGCTCCACCAAATCCTTGATATGCTGGAACATGTCGTTGTTGACCGACTGTAGAATCAAGTCGTACAGCACCGCGCTCCGCTCAATCCACCGATCGCGGGCATCTCCTTCCTCCGGCATCTTCTCTTCTCCCATAGCCAATTTTAGCAGCTTGTAGCGCTTGAAGGCGCTCCTCATCCGCCCACTCCATTCCTCATAGTTGGAGCCATCCAATGCCTCAATCTTGGATGGTGGCGGCTCACTCTTCTTCTCAGCTGCTTCTCCACTCCCTTGACTCATCTCCTCTTCTCCCAATCAGAGGTTTCAGCTCCCCCTTTTGCTGGTCAATATGTAGATCCACACAATCTTCACAACTGTCGGCGCCAACGAAATTTCGGCAGAGTTTCCCCTTAGCGGAAGTCACATTCAACCTCCAGAACTCCACTTAGGCACGCCCACAGGCCATGGTGGGTCTAAGAGGGTCTTCACACTTCAGTAGACTCTCCACAAAGTCCTTAATCAGCTCTGATACCACTTGTTAGAGACTAAGGATCGAGTCTGTGAAGATTAGGAGCCTAAATTTCTCAAAATCGTTGGCTTGAAATTCTGGACAGGAACCGCGACTTCACAAGAAACGTTGTCGACGAAAGGTGCACTGTTAGAATCGTCTCAAACTCGAGTATGTTATAGCCCTTGTTTGTGGCTATCATTTCCAATTTGAATCGTATCGAACAGTGGAGTAAATCTCGAGTTATGCTTCTCGGCGCACCAGGGGGTATGCTGCCACATAGAAATTAAATTCACTCACAATAGTTTCACAAGTTCACAGGAGTTGCACACAAGAGAGTTAGAGTAGCACTAAACCAGGTAGGAGGAAAAAGGAGGACGAGAGGGAAGGTCTCAAGGAGTCCCCAACCAAAGAAAACTCCATGCCACACAATTCCCTTCCCCATAGGCAACCCAACTTTGACCTTTGTCACTATCCCAACCTCCACAATCCACCTCAACCCAACTTGGCCACACTTGCCAACCTGGTTTGGTTTCTCCCAACCAATTGGCAGCAACTACAGTAGTAGTGACGAATTTCCCAACCCCCAAAAGTCTGTACCCCATATTGAGTCAACCCCACAACTCTCCATGGTCACCACAACCAAATTATCAAAAGCATACGAACTCCAACGTTCGTAACTTTCTTGTTCATGCTCCGATTGAAGTGATTCTTGGTTCGTCGGAAAGCTCTTGAGTAGTGGAGTCACTTCATATATCTGCTCAAGCCAAATAACATTCACACACACTCAGAAAATCCAAACCACAGAAAACACAAATTCTTGCGCACGCTCATTTCACACATGCAACGCACGAACACATGATGGGAGGCAGACAGACGTGAATGCAAATGATAGCATCACATAACAGAGCGCGTGGTGGTGTACGAGGCAAGGGACGCCATGCGCATCGCCACTGTCACCCCCGCCCGCTCCCTGCAGAACCGGTCAGACCCTCGCAGGCGTGCGGGAGGGTGGCGCGCGGGAAGTTGTTGCAAGGGGGTGGTCCAAGAGGGGTTGGTGCAAGGTGTGGTTGCGCGAGGGAGGGTGGTGCAGAAGGGATGAGAGGCCGTGGCGGTGTGGCAAGGACAGTTGGGGGGCCTGGTGTGACGTACTTAATAGCGATGCGTGATGGACGGGGGGCGGAATGGGATGAGGGACACAGCTCTGCTTCCCACCCCACACTCTGCGTTTACCGCATACTCTTTCTCCATGCACTGCTTCCCCACCTTGCGATGCTGTGAGCCCTCTCATCTCCATGAACCTCCCCCTCCCACCCTCCCCCCCCCCCCCCCCCCCCCCCCCCCCCCCCTCCCGCCAGCTTTGAAGTGTTTCGGCACAGCGAGTGGGTGGGGCAGTCGCTGGGGTTGCGCGTGCGGGCGGCCAAGGGAGGCGGCTTCCTGCACCTGCTCGCCCCCTCGCCTACCTTGTGGACCAAGGTGACGTGCGACGTGCGGCGCGGTGCGGTGAGGTGAGGTGGGGTGGCGAGTAGGAGGCGTGGAGCATGTGCAAGAACGTCCACTTGAGTGGGATGCTAGGATTCCAGTGGTGCGCCCACCACAGCACTCACTGCATCGCACCTCACTACATCGCACCTCACTGCATCGCACCTCACTACATCGCACCTCACTGCATCGCACCTCACCCGCCGCTCACTTGCCTCCATCCACCACCTCTTACCGTCGACTCCCTCATTCCCCACCTTCCCCTCCCCCCCCCCCACCAGGTGCTGCCCCACCGCACGCAGATCCTCTACCTGCCTGACATCGCGCTTATCATCGCGCTCATCATCACGCGCCTTGCCGTGACGCCCGGCGTCACCGTGCTGGAGAGCGGCACCGGCACCGGCAGCCTCTTGCACTCCCTCACCCACGCCGTGGCGCCCACTGGCCGCTTGTTCTCCTTCGACTTCCACCATGGCTGCGCCAAGCAGGCAAGGTGAGCAGGCAAGGGCAGCCTGCCACAGGTGCTTGTGCTGCTAGAAGCAGGGGTGCACAGCATATGGCAGGGGAGTGAGGAAGAAGAGGGGTGCGTGCCACACGCATGGGCAGGCTGGGGACAACGATGCCCCTCATCCCATTCCATTCTCTACATGCTCCCATCTTCCTCTGCTTGCTTTAAGAGCTCCAGTCCTCTTATTTCCTGACCTCCTATATGCTCGTACCCACCGCCTAGCTCCACACTTCCCTGGGCAGGGCGGAGTTAGAAGCCAGCGGCATAGTGGGCGTGTCAATCGTGGTGGTGAGGGACATCCAGGGCGATGGCTTTCCCCCCCACCTGCACGCCGCCACGCACGCCATCTTCCTCGACCTGCCCTGCCCCTGGCGAGCCCTGCCCTCCGCCGCCAGCTGCCTGATAGCGGGCGGACGTGCGTGCTCTTTCTCGCCGTGCATGGAGCAGGTGCAGCGCTGCTCCCAAGCCATGCGCGCCCACGGCCTCACCGATGCGTGACTAGCCCCCCACACACCTCTCTACTGCCCCGCATTCCCCTGTCGTCCCCTTTTCCACCCATCTGCCTCGTTCGTTGCTCCACCTCTTCTTCTGCTCATCCTTGATCGCTGCTCCCTCCCTGCCATGCCCCGCTTGCCGCCAGACATCCGCACTGTGGAGATGCTCAGCCGAACCTACGACGTGCGCGAGTAAGTCCTCACCGTGCCAAACCTAAAGCCAGCCTCGGAAGCACCAAGCCTTGAGCCGCCAGGGGAGGGGGGAATGAGAGAGCCAGCGAGGGCGAGGGGGGCCAGCGAAGTGACGGGCGAGCAGCAAAGCGGCGCCGTGAGGAGGGGGGTGGTGGTGAGGAGGGTGGGATGGAGCAGATCACAGCGACGAGGGCGGAGGGGGGGCGAGAGGATGGTGATGCAAGGAGAGAGGCAGGGGCAGCGGGCAGAGGGAGGAGGGAGGCGGGCAGGCGGCAGAGGGGGGTGGCAGAGAGTGTGGGCGAGGAGAGGGGGTACGTGGCAGCGAGGCCCGTGGCGGACAGCAAGGGGCACACGGGGTACCTCGCCTTCGCCACCAAGCCCGTGTGATGGCCGTCACACGCAAGGGCCACCGCATGTCTACGGTAGCAGCGGTGACTCGCGGTTTCCAAGTGCATTGGCTCGGATGACAGCTCTGCCTGCCCTTAGGATCATTTCAGGGCTAAACTCTGAGTAAAAGTGTTGTATTTGCGGAAGCATTTTAGTAACAAGTGCTGAACCACCTTGAGCTAGTGTGTGAGGGCAAGATATATTGATTTAAGCAAGAAGATACAATGTTTTAAAAGAGTACAAAGAATATGAAAAGATGCAGCTGACAGATCGGGTCTACGATTATGCATGTTTTATGCCGTACAGGGACTTCAGTAGCTGACAGATTTGGGTCTGCGTTGGAGTCGTGCGGCTGCTCGACGAAGATTTCAGCGTCGACGGGTGCGTAGAGAAAGGCGTTGGCGACGTCGATTTGACGAAGCTTCTTCTGCTTCATGGCGGCTATCGCGAGGAGAATCCGCAGTGAGGTGTGCAGACTAACAGGTGCAAACGTCTCGGTGAAGTCTCATCCGTGCTCTTGGTCGAAGCCACGTATGACCCAGCGTGCCTTAAACTTGTCAACGGTTCCATCTGCATTTGTTTTCACGCGGAAAACCCATTTTCCGGTGAGGATGGTCTTGTTCCGTGCCACCCCAATAGGTACGACCTTCCAGGTGTTGCATTCTTCCAGCGCTTTCAACTCCCTGCCCATGGTTTCGCGCCATTTTTCCCTGTGTTCCCCCCTCAGAGCCTGCTGAACTGTGGCAGGCTCCTTAGGTGGCGCCGTGCCGTGGACTGCGGTGACGAGTCCGAGTATCTGGAGGCCACTCTGCGTGTAGCGAGGGAGATCTGGGTCCTCAGGATAGGCTGCTTCATCTCCCGCTTCTAGATCAGGTATGAAGTTAGGTCCTACGCGTTCTGCTTCGTCGGCGTTAACTTGAGCGGATGTAACGTAACCGTTGTCGACGAAGTGATAGTAGGTTTCGGTGTTGAGGTTGTCGCGAGGATTTTCGTCGTCCATCCGGACGTCGACTAAACAGTAGGGAAGGGGTCCGGCTTCTTTCGAAGCTCTATCCACATTCTGCTCATCCCAAGCAGCTTCGTCTGTTGCCGAAGCGAAGGCTCGGTCACCATGAAAGCCACCTGTGGAGTCTCGATCTTCTTCTAGGTTGGCAAGGTATGCCAGAAGCGTGCATCGCTCGTAGAAGATGACATCACGTGCTGCCACTGTTTCTTTTGTGTTGATGTTGAAAATCTTCCACGCGTTGTAATGTTTCTCGATGCTCACGTGTAGTCCCCACTGTGCGTGTTGGGAGAAGCGACCTGCTCGTGCAGGTGGGGGTGGGTCGGTTCTGTACCATGCAGCCAAAAACTCTCATCATGTTTGTGCTGCCCAATTTTCCTGTCCACGGCAGATGCGGTGATGCGTTGTTCGGGAGCGATGATGACAAGAGCAAGTTGTGCAGCATCACAGCATGGTCCATTGATTATGGCCACTAGTGGTTGGGTAGCCGCATGCCACGCAACAGTTTGCGCATGGTGTTCTGGAGGGTCATGTTCATCCTTTATACGATGCCTTGCTGTTGATGAGCGTAGGGAAGGGAGATGAGCCTTTTGATGCCTCATTCTGCCAGGTAGTCCTTGAACCTTTGGGACTAATATTCTCTTCCCCCGTCTGACTGGAAGCATTTTAGCTTTACTCCTGATTCCCGTTTTGCGACTGGAAGCCAGGCGACGAAGGCTTCGAAGGCCATGTCGCGGCTCGGAAGGTTAAGGTGCCATATGTATCGTGTGGCGGCGTCGATGGAAGTGATGACGTAGTTGTATGCTCCTTGACCAGGTTCACGTTGTACAGTATGTCGTTGTACACCTTCTCCAAAGGTGTGTATGCTGGCGCACTTGGGTTGTGGTGAGAGACAAACGGTTGATGCGGTAAGTTGGCTTCAGGGCAGATGAAGCATGTTCCTCGAACTTGTTGAAGTTCTCTTCTGTCGGGTAGAAGAAGCGAGTCTTTATCAAGTACTCCTGCTCTTATCGTGTTATTAATGCCGTGTTGCTCGGGTGTCCCATTCTTACGTGCTAGATGTCTTCGCCAGCGCGATGTCCGAGTGAGGGCCTGTACAAGTCAGAGTTGGAGTAAAAACCAGCAGTGAAGTTGGCGCTTCTGTAGACTTCCCGTGGAGTGGGAGTCAACTGCTTTGCAGGAGTCGGTGGAGTATCGTCGATTGGAACTGATGCGGTTGAAGAACCCGCGGTTGGTGTCGTGATCGGTATTGTCTCTGCTGCTGCCGATGTTGTCTCTGCTGCTGCCGATGTTATCTCCGTTGCTGCCGATGTTGTCTCTCCTACTGCCAGTCTTTGCTGCTGCCAGTTGTTGTATTGTTGCTATTGCTCTCGTTCGTTTAGCCTCAGGTATGGTGTTCAAATACCAGAAGCCGCCGGGGCTGAAGTCGGGGTCGAGATCCGGTGGATGTGTCAAGGGAGCAAAGGTGACGATTCCATCGCTGTAGACAGTGCCTTGATCTGGAACGAAGTCGAGTACGAAGACATAGTTCTTCAACACTGCCTTGCCAATGTAGAGTCCGCCCCTCCCGTGGTACAGTTTGAACTCCTGAGTGGTGCTATCTGCTTCGAGATGAATTCCTTTCGCCATCAGCTGACTGACATTGAGTAAGTTGTACCCGAGTCCCTCTGCGAATAAGACCTTCAACATTTGTAGTACGACATTGGTCTCTCTTGACTGAAGTTGAACGATGCCTTGTCGTCGTGTGCGCGGGTTCTGATTGTTGGCGTCGGAAATTACGACTTCGCGTGTTTTCTGTTGAACGAAGTGACCCAAGGAGCACATGTGCTGTCCGCAGCAGTTGTCCAAGTACCAGGTGTCTTTTTCGGACGGCTCTCTCTGGGCGATGGCTGCGTATGTCGGGTTCGGCTCAAGGTATCAGAGCGAAGGCCTCGGGTTCGAATCCCAGTGTGTGCACCTCGGGCATCTCAGTGTGGGGAGGTGTCAGAGGTCCACTGGAGATCCCCGATTGATCATAGGGAAGGGTTATAGGCACGTTGGCCTGGGGGGTTATGGGCGCACTGACCCGCTACTTGACAAGCCCTTTCATCCCAATGGTCTAGTGGTTGGGATTCTGACATCTTCTTGTGCCGCACTTCGTGCTGGTCCATGTCTTGCTGTTCGGCGTGAATTTCGGCGCAGAGCGCGACTTCGGAGATCTTCCCGTGGGCTCGGAGGACTGCTCGAGTGGAACGTCAATGAGGACCAAGGTCGGGGATGGCCACTGTGACGAAGGCTTCTTCAAATATCGATCCTCCGCATCGAAGGAGTCTGTCACGCAATCCGCGACAAAGGCTGATATACGCCATCCCTTTTTCGCCGAGTTTCATTTCCACTGTTGTCAGTTGTGCTATTAACTGACTCTGGTTAACGCTGTTTGTTGCTTGGTACAGGTTCTTCAAGTGGTTGTACGCAAGCTCGACGGAGTTGCCGTATCCCCGATAAGACCAGATGTTCTGCTGCTGATTCGGAGTTAGGTTCCTCAGCAGGATCGTGTATGCCATCATCGACTGATATGAATACTGTTGATTGTCGTACTGCGTCCCGTGTGTTCGGTATGGCAAGGATACGTCGAAGAATCAAAGACTCTGCGCGCCTTCCATCATCAGCTCAAACTCAAATGACCATGTATGAAAGTCCTTCCCGTCAAAAGGTGTTGATGTCTGTAATTTCAGGACATGCGCGAACTGCGATTGAACCAGAGGCGCATCCAGTGTCTTCTCTTGTCTAGGTCGGGGCTGCTGGTACAGCATGAAGCTAATCGAGCCACGTTGAGGCTCATACGGAGCAAAGGTAGGTTGCTGCTGGATTCCACGCGCATAGGACGAGCCATCGAGACTCACGGGTGTCGTTGTTGTTGTTGCTGTTGTTTGACTGCGCAAGTGCCGCTTGCTGATGCTGTTCGCAAAAGGACAAGAAGGAGAAAAACTTTGAAGAAATGAGAAAATGAATAAACTAGCAAGCAGGTGGATACAAGTAGGAAAACTTAAAAGTGTTGTACCCCATATTGTCTACCCCACTACAGCCTACACAGACTATAGCATATGAGTTTGACACACCCCCATAGGCTAAGTGGGGGAGAACAAGAGGTCACAAGACCAGTCAACCAAAGCAAAGCAAGCTCAGGGTGGATCACAACGTCACCACACATTCCGAGCACATGATCAAGGCGACAAGGCCAGTTCACATGCAAGATCATATATAAAGGTAGACAAGCAAGTGCAGGTATAGAAAGATCACAGTCCAAGCAAGGTCAAGAAGAGAGCAAGTGAGGCCAAGTAGGCACAAGACCTAGCATCGTACAGAAGCGCTGATGATCACAAGGCGGAAGTGCCTTGGTAAAGATATCAGCAGTGTTGGCCTCAGAGGCCACGTAAGCAAGGCGCAGCTGACCACGCTGCTGCAGCTCACGAGCAAGGAAGTAGCAAAGAGCAATGTGCTTCATTCGGTGCTTCAGTCTGTGCTCCCCACACAAGGCCAGCATGGCCTTGTTGTCTACGTACAGAACTGGAGGAGAACGAGGTCAGTCAGCAGGTAGGTGAGCCAGCGTAGCTCCTGTGCAGCCATGGCCCCCGCGTAGATCTCACCCTCACAGCTGGAGCCGAGAACAGAAGACGACAAGTAGACCGCCACGAAACAAAGCCGGAAACAAAGCAGAAGGTGTAACCCTGTGACGACCGTAGCGTAGCCTCGTCGTCAGCCCAAGAAGCGTCTGCGTGACCTGTGAGGACCACTTGACGTCGCCCTCCAAGCACTAGCCCCATGCCCGACGTACTGCACAAGTAGCGCAACACCCTCATCGCTGCAGCCATGAGCTCCGGTTGGTGACTTCAGGCGCAACATAGCGTGCCAAGATGCTAAGAGGGTATGCAAGGTCAGGTCGTGTGCAGATAATCAGGTACATTAGGCAGCCAACAAGCTCTCTGTACGGGCGACTCGGCTCTACGGACTCATCCGA